AGTGTAAAGACTGTGTACACACACACACACACACATACCACACAAAGTACACTGAAGAAAAACAACTTAAATGACTTAATTTTGCTGTAAAACATATACATCCTAAATTCCTTGATTTTGTTATGAAAATAGAGAATGCCTGTTTCTTCAATCAAGTTATACAGGATACAGTATCTTAAAATATCTAGTCTAGATTGTGACAGCATTTTTGATAAATTTTCCTTATTTTCTAATCTCCCCCTTGACTTTATTTTTTTTTTAAAGATTTTTTTATTTATTACCCATACAAGCACTGGGTACAGGCAGAAGCACAGGAGGGTGAGAGAATTCACCAGAGCCAGAGCAGGGAACAGAACAGGCAGAAGGACCGAAGTACACTGCTGAGGGGAGCAGGGGGCGGCAGGGGAGGTCTGTGCGCCATGTGGGACCCTCGCTGGTGGCTGGGGATCAAACCGGCACTACAGAGGCTGTGGGCAGCTTTGCAACCCAGCACTCAACTGCTACGCCACCAGGGGAGGCCCCCCTTGACTTTAATCACAATTTCCATGTTGCCAATAGAATCTAGAGTCCAAAACCCTTCTTCAAAATTTTGAAAACTACTGATATTTGATATTTGAAAATAAGTGATATCTTTCAACTATCATTTCTCTTATCACTGAAAAAAAATCTACACTGCCCTGCTTGGGTTGATGGGTTTGACATCTGTGAACAGAAAAGACTGAAAAAAAAATAGGTGAATCTGGGTGGCACATGAGTTGCTGATAAACTGAAAACTGTCACAGAAGGAAATTGGAAATGCCCTACTTACATGGCAATTAAATAGCCTGGCTCTCACATATACCTTTTATTCCTGATGGGCATTGCCTTGGCCTTCTGTTAATCTTATGGGAAAACACGTGTTATAAATATGCTTTTGAGAGAGTGTACGGCTCACTGGGATCTCTGTGCTTCAAACATGCGTTGTGGTTGGTTGTATCTTGGAACATACTCTTCAAAATTTCCCTGTGTGTAGTGTATGTAAAATAATCTGTCTGAGGCAGGTGTGGTAAGAAGCATTCCTTTTTGCAGAGTAGTTTAGAAATAATATATGTGTTTGGGTTAAGGTGGCATGGGAGCTAGCTTGTTGCAGCATCTTCTCTGTTAACAGGGAATTTTATGTTTCAATTCAATCTTACGCAACATGTGGATAAGCAGAATCAGCATTATGAGTTACATGAGCACATGATGTAGAAAACTTACTGAAATGTTAGAAAAGCAGTGTTGAGATAAAGGAGAGAAGGAAATTGGCTTCCATGGGATACCTATGAGGTTTACACGAAAGGGCTATGTGATTCACATTTGTTTTCCCATAAAATATCACAACCAGCTAAGGAGGTAACATTATATCATTTTTAAAAATCAGAAAATAGGATTCAGGAAAGTTGAGCAATGTATCCATGGTCACACAGCTATTCAGTGTCAGTGACAGATATACATCCATGCACAAGGATTCATTGTGTTAAGCTAACCTGGATTCTATTTTGCAAAGATCACAGGAAAAATGATATATTTTTGATATGCAACCTGGATGAGGCAGAAAATCTCAAAGCTGATTTAGAGTGTCAAATGTTATAACTGAAACATCAGATCATTTGGTTATGTTCTTATACTTACCATGTCTCTCAGTATGCTGAATAGTCAAATGGGTCTTCCAGCCTTGTAAAAAGAATATATGTGAGTAACCTAGATGACTAAGGTATCTAATCTAAGAATTACTGTATCACTTACATCACAGTTCTTTTCTTTTTCCCAACTGAGCTAATATTTCGATATCAATTATAAAATAAGAGCAAACCCTCTGAATGTGCTAGTATATAGATGATCTTAGGATAAACAGGGAAATTAGAAAAGGAGACCAGTTCAATAAGGATAATGAAATACTCCATATAAATATCCCTGTACCTATACATAAATGTAACTAATATCATGTTTAACTGCAACCTGCACATTCATTGTTGCAGATTGGAAATGATATTTCACAGGGTAGCCACATGAAAATACACTTTCAGTGCCTACATCTGAGCCATGCAAATGCTCTTTAAAAGACCATTTATTATAGATTTTTGCTAAAGCTCATTTAATATTTCATCATTTTTATTTGTCTCCTCTTTTCCCTCACCCCAAATTATTTTGTAAATTATAAAAAGCCACAGTGAATTAATGAGAACATTCTTGCTATTTTTTTTCATTTGGTTCACATTTAGTTGCAGTGAGTAAAAACATTTCTGTTGAAAAGAATCAGTACCACTTCTTCAATTAGGTCAGGGCTTCCTGCCATTTAAAATTGACAGAAAAAGCAAAATGTACCAGATTGCAACACTGGAACTAGAGCTATTAGACTTCCCCAGGATCTCTGGTCCTAGGTTTGACCTCAAATCCCTTCTGCCCAGAACTAGTGACTGTTTGAAGGGCCTTTGTGACTAGCCTCATAAGTCAGAAGAAAGCCCTGGAATATTAAAGAATCTTGGCACTCACCATGTTATAGTTGGACACAGTAGTTCATAAAAAGAAAAAAAAATCTTGTGAATATATATTCTAAAAAATATTCAGAAGCAATTTTCATAAGACTCATAAGAAGATAGTCAAATACAGATATAAGATGAATAAAGCAGATTTTAACATAAGCTCACAATACAGTAAAAGAAATAAAGCAACAAAGGTGTGGTTAAGAGAACAAGCTTTGAAGTTCGAAGATCTTGATTAGTATTCCAGCATGAATTCTCTAACTGTGTGACCTTGGGCAAGTTGCTTGCTCTCTCTAATCCATAACGTATGGAATCATCTGTAAAATAAATATATTAAAATTAGCTCTCACAGACAAGTTTTGAAAATTAAATGATTTATGTAAATTGGCTAGTACATTATCTGGCACCAAGTAAACACTTTAAGACTGTTAAACATCATACTTATTATTATTGCAACAACTTTGATCAGATGTAAACATAAATTGAAGGGACTTATTCCACTGGGTAAAAGACAAACATACAAAAAAGATAAGAATATCAACAATTATTTATAAGATTCAATATAACAAGACTATGTCAAGTAATTTATTTCTTTGTCATTAATTTCTTTTATTTCTGGTTTTATGTGCAGATGTTAATGATACCTTAGATAGGAAAAAATAAACACATTCATAATTTAGAGTTGTAATTCCTTGTTTTGGAAGAGTCAAAATATCAGTATTTTATATACCCAAAATTTATTTATAAAATTTACCTGTTAAAAACATAGATGTCCCAACACAAATTATGTATGCATCATGCAGTAAAAACTGCCCAGTGAGTATTGTTAGCATCTTAAACAGAGAAATACAGTATGGACATTTCCATATGCACTCTTAAGTTTTAAGATAAACCCTAAAATTATTTGTAAATATTTGTTTTAAGTGATGTGTATCCTATTGGATAGTCACCTAACACTCTTGGTCAGAAGTTAGATGTTCTCAGACGTTATTGTTCAAATGATGGATGTTGCAGTAACTTTCCTTGAAAAAGACATGATCAGTAGAGTGATTTGGGTGTATGTCAATAGATAAAGGGTATACAGTTACTCTTGATTTATAGAGTAAAGTAAAAGGAGCTTTTCTCCGAAAGAAGAAAAGATTAAGAAATTGCATCTGGGGGACTATTAGTCTTTGTTGAAACAAAACAAAACTATGCAATGGCATTATATGGGATGGCATTGGGTCAGGTAAGAAAATGTTAACAAATGATTTCAAAACATTGCCAAAATCAGTTTTATACTTAGAACTATTTGACAAATAAGTAGATTAAAGGGTAAGCAAATAAAACAATGACTGGATAATGTCATATGATGAAGCTCTGTTCTTTAGTGGCTATCTTTAAGAATACATTGACATTGGTTGAGTCTGACCAGAGCAAGCTCCTCCTCCCTAGAAACAGGGGATGTTTCTCAAATCTCTCTCCCTAGATTCATTTCTGAAATAATTTCCCAATAATACTTGCCTTCAAAAACACATAACCGGGCTTCCCCTGTGGCGCAGTGGTTGAGTGCTGGGTTGCGAAGCTGCCCGCAGCCTCTGCAGCGCCGGTTAGATCCCTGGCCAGCGGGCGAGTGTCCAACATGGCTCACAGATCTCCCCTGCCGCCCCCTGCTCCCCTCAGCAGTGTATTTCATCGGTCTGCCTGTTCTATTCCCCTCTCTGGCTCTGGTGAATTCTCTCACCCCCGCCCCCCCCCCTGCGCTTCTGACTGTACCCAGTGTTTGTACAAATAAATAAATAAATCTTTAAAAAACCAAACAAACAAAAAACACATAACCAAGCTCAACTTTAAATGTGGTCTTCAATTTTACATTCCTTACAATTGCAACCACCTGCCTTAAGTTTTCATCATATAAGCTGCTTGCATCACATCACAGGGTCATGAAACACTTGTAGAATCAAAACTCTGTAAGTGGTATGGACTGACCATTTTAATTTTTTCACTTGACTGGGCTCTGCCTCCACTCAAAACATCTCTTCTGCTGCCACTTCTCTTGCGTGAAAGGGCTAGGTAAGTTAGAGCTCATTCACCATAGGCATCACAGGGAGCCACCACTTCTTCCCAGCACCTTTCCTCTAGAGTGGGCACGAGTGCTGAAAGGGACAGCTCCCGTGCTCTGGTCATTTTAAGTACTTTTCCCAGGAAGACTACACTCACCTCCTTTCTGCTACACACCTCCATTCACAAAATCCGAGAACCTCAGTCATCCCTGATGCCTTGGAAATTTCGTGAGACTGATGCTGAGACACACCCTCATTCCCTAAGTGTATAATTATACGTGGGTGGAGAGCCACCAGGGAGGGTAAGAGGAGAGGGCAAAGAGGAAAAAAAAAAATTTAAAGAAAGGAGACGGTAGCTTTGTCCCGACTTCTAAAAACCCTTCTGTTAATCTCTCCTCCCCCACTCCCATTTTCCTAAATCCGAGAATGACTGAGTTCAAGGCAAGGGACGGGTTCCGGAAATGGAGATGTGAATTTCAAGCCTAGAAATGAACGGAGCGATTTATTTAAAGTTGAATACTCCTCGTCCTAAGAAACCAGCGCAATTCATGTTTAAAGAAGCCCGTGTTTTCTCCAACATCACAAAAACCGAAAACAGTTGCCACCAAAGACCAAAAAAACATTCTGAGCGCGTTCTCGCTGTCCTTTAAGCTCAGACAGAAGGTGGGGTGGAAGCGCTCACAACCTGTGAAAGTGCGAAGGACTCTCTACACCTGGTGGCCAAATCCCTGCTGCCCAGAACTCTCCCCTACCATCTCTCATCTTTCGTGACTGTGCAAGGCACAGGGATTTAGACATGTATGTGGGAGTGCGTGTGAGGGAGGGAAGCGAGAGGACGGTGTGTTCTCCACATGTGTAACCCTGCATCTCCCTGTTCCCTAGCTTGCATTTATTCACAAGCATTCATTAGTTAAATATTTGATCAAAGGTGGAATATTTGCAATGAACAGCTTTCTTTTTAATGGACACACCTTAAACAGTGTACAGAAATTCAAAGTGTGAAGATTCTGAGTGTAGTACCTTTCTACTTCCCTCCCCCTATTTCTACTCCACCCCCCCCAAAAAAAAGGGGAACGCTTGCAGCAGATTGTAGAAGGATTTGAGTCTGCAGCTAGAGAGAAGGGGATTAGGGCCAGAGCGGTGCAAGTTAAATTGTGCTGCATATAAAAAATGGGCGGATTGGTCTCCAGCTCCAGAGGCTGGTACCACCTTCCTTTCTAAAATAAAATCTCTCTGGCATGAAGTCACCGCCTATTTCACATCCGGTTTGCCCTGGGACGTATTACTACTGTCTTGGTAAAGAGAAATCTTTTGTTGTATAGCTGCAGATTGGAGATTGGGAAGCAAATTTGGGTGTGAAATCCTCAGCAAAGGCGCACGCAGAGTCCATGATGGCTCAGACCGAGTGAGTGAGAGGCAGAGCGAGGACGCCCCTCCGCTCCCGGCGCGCCCGACGCGCGGACTCGCGCTGGCTCCAGGCTCTCCACGATTTTCTCTCGCAGACTTTTCCCGGGTCTTGAGCGATCCTGTGCCCAGAGGGGGCCCGAGGTAAGTGCGGCTTCGGACCGCAACACAGTGAGCTTTGAACGTGGCTTTTCCTAGCCGGAGAGACGGGAATGCTAGAGTGGGGGAAAAAAAGAAAGCGGGAGAGGATTAGAGCCTGATCCCAGAGCAGGTAGAAACAACGAATGTTTTTCTTTCAGGGTGAAAACCGCAGCGATACAGGAAGCATTATTTTCTCCCCCTGCCTCTTCTTTTCTTGCCCCCATTCTTAGGCAGATTTGAATTTTTTTCCGCGGGGTGGGTGGTGACACGCCGTTTTAGTCTTTTTTTTTTTTTTTCTCTTTCCCTCCCACCCCCCTTGCAGGAGGGAGCTGGGATGAGGTGGGGAGGGGCGTCGGGGGGCATAGTGGAAAGTTCAGACGCTGGGACAGAAAACCTGTCTCAGCGTTCCAGCCTAGGGAAGGCAGTCTCGTTCTGGCTGCACAGATCCCTCTTTTCTCCTTTACAGTGGACGCTGCTGAAATGCCCTCTGGTGTAGGGGTCTCTCCCATTCCGAACACGAAAAACTCAACTTCCATTTGATGTGGATGGCCCGGGATGTGGGCGTCTGGAGTGTGTGTGTTTGGGGGGAGGTGGAAGGTGGAAGGGGTATGGCTGCTTAGTGCTTCTTTTAGACTATTATGTTTGTATTTGCAAGAAACTTTCTCACTCAACAACTCAAGTGCCACGACAGGCTTGTTTTTCTCTTTTTCAAATGTCAGAGGAGGACAAAAAACTGATACTTTGCCTCGGGTTATGGTTTGTTTCATTTGTCCCTTCAGGAATTACCCCCCTTCAACAAAGACCAACAAGAATTAATAGGGTAAGAGGAATTGTTTTTCCTTCATAATAGATGTTGAAGATTCATAAAAGGGTGAAATTATAATAGTGCAATTTGGATGCAATATTTTAACATAATGGTAGCTATCCAAAATTTCTTGTCCTATTCAACTCATCTGTGTCAAAACCCATCACTACATTTAGTATAAGCCATGATGAGGTTCACAGCTCTTACCTCTAGATCTAGACAATTTCTCTCTGAACACATTGTTTCATAGCTTACATGTCTGTTTATAATGGTTTTTACTGATATAAATGATCCCTGAGTGTATTTAATATTTGTGTAGATGTATCTAAAGGCACACCACATTAAATTATAGGGTACATGATAGAAACTATGCTTTAAAAGACTAGCAATCCATTAATCACTGATCCTACTAGGGAGTTAGACATTCAGGGAAGTGCTATCAAATACCTTGAACAATTCATATCATGACTGGAATTAATTATAGCACATTAAAATAAAATGTTACTATATCTGCTCCTTAATCAGGTAATTCACTGATTTCTAAAAATTGACTCTACAAATAGATTATGATTTTTAAAAACATTCTCTAAGATTTTCATACTTCTCCATCCCTCCAGCACCCCACTATCAAGTCTAAATTCAACAATCAGATGGTGATTGATTGCACTTTACCTAAGAGGGAAAAAGATTCCCTTATTCATGCAAAGCAAAGCACTCCAGCTTCCATCTGTTTGAGATAAAACATTTTCTAACAGCAACCTGGCAGAATTCAAGAGGGCTTAAAAGATATGTGTGGGCATGTTTTGTGCATTTATGTGAGTGTGGTTTGTGTGTGAGAGAGATGAGCACATGGCTTGACTATAAAGTGCGTCCTTTAGCCTCACAGGAACATCAGTGAGCATATTTAACAAGGCAATCACAAGCAGAGAATATAAGGACGACTTCGGCATTCAACAATGTGTTTTCTATTTTTTTTTTAAACATAAATACAGTTGCTGCTATAATCAAGGTACATCCAGAATGCACAGATGTATTCAGTCATCAAAGTATATTAACTTACCCCATCCCACTCTGCAAACATGCACTCTGTTATCGACACAGCTTAAAAATTTCAGTGCACAGTTCAGTTGTGGAAACTCAGAACAGAAAGGCCAAAATTTTCAGATGGTAAACAACAAAGGTGTATCCAAACTATACTGGAAATATGAAACCTAGAGGGGGGGAAAAAAAAAAAAACTCACAGTTTTTATGTTGAGCAACATTGTCACCTGAAAGCATTTTAACTTGTATTCTTTTACAGGCAATATTAAGACACCAAAATATTTCTGAATGGAGAAATTGAAGGGAAAGTAGAGAATGGATGGTCTAGGTTTCCATTGCTTCCAATGAGGTGTCATATCCCAGTGAGGTCATTTCCTGACTTCAAAGCTTCATCTGAACTGCCTCAGTCAGCCCTAGTGGTTATAACCTGATGTTTCTTGCAAGAAACATTGATCTCTACTTGTTCTACTTTTCAGCTGCACGAGTCCGCCATGAAGAGAAGTCTCGGTCTCTCTGATTATCTTTGGGCCTGGACCCTCCTTCTGAGCACAGTGACTGGAAGAAGGTGGGGACAATTTATTTTAAATCTGCATGAGAATTTCTGAAACTTTTCATATATTCTATCAGGGGGAAGAAAACTGTCCTTGGATGAATTCATGACTAAGGGAATTCAAAAAACTTAACTGCAATAAAATTCCAGCTAAGAATAAAGAAGAAATATATGAAAAATAAATAATCATCTTATTTGAATGTTCGTTAGAATACACTTAACATGCCTTTGTTAAGGAGTGTATTACTTTAACATCTATGTCTTAAATTGAACTTCTCACTGTTCAGTGGTAACTTAACCAAACTTGCGGTCTCCTAATTCATAGCAAAAGTGACCCCAGTTGATGTTTGCATCCTATGACAGTGTCACTTAGAAGTGGAAAGTTTAAAATAATATTTGAAATTTGAAAATCCAAGTCTCTATAAATGTGAATTTCATGTTTTGAAACCATTTTTTATGTAACCAACAGAGGTAGACTATACCAGACATCTATTTAAAAACATTAGATAAAAATTGAACTTCATTTATGCATAACTAACTCTGGTATAAGTTCTAAGAAAAATGTAGTAATAAGCTTACCCATACTCAAAATATTTACTAATGATCAAATCAAGCCGACAAACATATTACAATGGTAATGATGTAAATGACCAAACAATTCAGATTATTTTTTATCTTTTACATTTCTAGTGTAGTCCACTCCTATGGCTGATAAATAAGTCTTAGCCTATTATAAAAACTTAAGAGTCATCAAAATGAAATGGAAAGTGAACCCTTATGAGATGAAGCAGAAAAATGGAAAAGTCTGGAAAGATGTGAATTTAGGAGGATTTCTTAAACTGAAAAGTTATCCGTTATTATTTTTTTGGCTATTGTGTGTGGTGAATAACCACTGCCAGATGAACAGGAAATGCATTATGGCCAGATACTCTTAATCTTAGGAGTTAAAAATTCTTCCCTGCTTTTGAAAAATTATATGAAGTGTTACTATTGTAATGACCTGTAGATGGAGTTAGTGCACAGTGTTTTATTATATAGTGGTTCATATGGAATCAAAATCAGGTACTGTAACTGACATTTCTCTTCAAATCGTACATTCAGTTTAGGAAACATTACATTGGCATGAGTGCTTAATACCAAATAAATAATCTTGATCTTTGTCCTAAGGTTCTTCTCTGACAATTACAGTTGACATAGTAAGTTAGAAGTAAAGATGAAGAACAACTGGGTTATAAAATCACATCAAGGAAAGATTAGCCATTGCAAGTGGAAAAGCGGAGCTGGTTTTCTGGGAGGGGGAGAGGGAAGTCCTTTTGACCTTTGTATTGCAATGTAAATGGCTGGAATGCAGCATCTATGAGATAAAACCAGGAAAAAGCCATTTCCTTAATTTGACATATATTGTGCAAGCAAAGGGCCTGCAGGCAAAGGTAACAGACAGCTCCATATTCTAGCCATTATATTAACAATTTAATTGTAGTCCTTCATGTCATACCACCTCATCTGGCCCCACTTCTTATTTCACTCCTTTCTTCCTCAGACTACTTGATCAGGTTCTCCTCACAACTTAAGGTGTGCTAGCATTTCTTTTCCACCTTTATCAAGATGACCTTCCAATATCCTTGAAAGATGCATGCACAATACATGGTTTGTGACAAGGAGTTTTTATAAATAATTGCACTCAGAATAGGATATTTTGCTTTATTGGTGTCATCTGCTAATGAGACACCCTGGAAGACAGAGCTCATTGAAAATTTGATTTCAAAAACCAGCAAGATGCTTAATTTTGCCAAAGGAGAGTAAACCTTCATTCTGCATAGTATTGATGTTGAAATTAGGAGTATGAAAATTTGTTTTATAGAGGTGTATTTCATGTTTAATATTGTGAATAGTTTTAGCTAACATAAATTTATTAAATTTAAATTTTATCAGAAAAATGGCCATTGCATTTTGCCAGTATAAAATTACCTACAAAATTGTGTTTATTTTTGAAATACTTTGATTTTTTTTCTTACTCCTGTCAAATCCTGGTTTCAAATGTCACTATTGTTCTTAGATTTAGTTATAATATAAACACGCAAGTGAAATCAAAAGCATGTTCACTAGAATGTGAGAAAGTGATATTTTGTGGCAGTATCTTAGTTTACACCCTGTATGCCTTTTTTTTTCCCCACTCAGTTAAAGCAGTCATTGAAATCAATCAGTGAGTATGATCCATCCTATGACAGAAACTCTTTCTTCAAAGAATTTTGGAGGTGCATACTAAGCATTACATACCATGTGAATCAAGGATAGATAAAATGACATTGATGGGAGAAACCCGCGACATTTGAACTGTGGTCACTACATAATTGAAACTAAAAACTAGAACTAATGAGGGCTAAAACTACACGTAAACTAGAGAGATTTATAAAGAAACAAATACCCCAATATAGAAAGATGGAAATAAAGTTTTAGACTAAAAGTTGAAGAAAACTGGGGTCTAGCTGTGTTCCTTAAACAAAACCCTAAATTGGCACTACAGCTTAAAAAACTACGAATTAAGAAAATACTGAGCCACAGTTTTTGAAGGTATCTTTTACTTCTAAGATCAGACACAACAAAATTTCAATTTATTAGAGGTTTGAGTAGACAGATTATAAAATCTGTTTTCATAAACTCTAAATGGAATGAATTTGCACCAATGTGCAAATGTAATAATCCCAAGTAACACATTTTATCCATTTTTCTCATCTAAATATCTTGAGAAAACATTAAATAACAAAGTGCCTACATATAAAGTGGGGAAGAACATTAGTAGATAAAACCTTAAGCTTAAGCCACATGTTAAATTTAATGAAAACAAAACTATTAGTGATTTTGGTAGTTCACAAACATATATTTTTGGGAGAGAGACGTTTTCCAGATTTCTTCTTTATCCTACCATGCATTAACTTTTTGCTTGCTCCATGAAGACATGCATTACTGCACTGCGTACATACTGAGAAATACAAAATTAGAGACAAAACTCATTTCCTATAATTTTCCTTCCATAGTTAGAAATGTTAAAGACCTTATTGTCTAAGAGAAAAAATATGACAAAATTGTAAAATTTAAAGCATTACATTTTTTAACTTTACAGAAAGATTATTCAAATTAAGTTTCAATAGAAAGCAAAGTAGAAAAATCTGGAGCAGGCTTTATTTTAAAACGTTGAAATGAATAATATAGATATCGCCTCCCCCCATGTCTTTTTCAGTTATGGACAACAGTCATTACAAGATGAACTCAAAGACAATACTACTGTTTTCACCAGAATTTTGGACCGACTCCTAGATGGTTATGACAATCGCCTGAGACCAGGATTGGGAGGTGGGTTGTATTATTGTATTTTTATTTTAGAACAAAGTATTAAAACTTTACTATTAAAGCCTGCTTTCCTTCTAAATGGTAAAGTAGTAAGAATGGCAGCATGCAGTTTAATAACTAACCCTATTTTTAATAGATTGTGCAATGTAAATTAAATTCATCCTGATAGTTTCATGCACATATCCATATTTAGTAAAAGGCAGATACACACTTCTCCTAATGCCATGAAAAAAAAGTTACATTTACTTGACAATTACATTATGTGTAATGATTTTATTACACTGAGGAAAATGGGTGTAATATTTCCCGTAGCCGAAAAACTGTATCTTTTTGATTTGGCTTTGCTGTGTCTGCATTGAATTCAAGTAGAATATCTTTGAATTTGTTGTTATAAACATTTATTTTGGAATATCACATACTGACCTACTATTTTGTGCTAGAATGCCACCACCTCTGGGATAAAATGAATTTTTTAACCATGTATTCAAACTTCAACCCTGATTTTTGTAGTAAAATTTGATTTTTCTTTGTATACTAGTTAATTGATTATATTAATGAATTTCCACTTGGAAGACAGCACTTAATAGTAAAATATTACACACTTATTGAATAGTCCTTGGATAAGATAATCAAGCTACCTTATTTAAATAAAAACTAATGGAGCCTAAACAAATAATGATCTCAGAGCAAAATAAGTTTAAGCAAGGAAATAAATTCATTCAAAGTAACATAGGAAACCAAGGTTATGACTCCTAGTTGTAATTAATGTTGTATTTTTCCGGAAGCATTTGTAGAAACTAATCAATTGCAATATTTAAATTATAATTAAATGATGATATTAAGACAGCAAAGATGTACAAAGAATAAGAAGCTTAATAATTCGAATTTTGATTACCAATTAATGCTAACATGGATTTAGGGTCACTTTGTATTACTACTTTGGGTAATGTAATCAAGTGGATGGCATTTTGCACCTCTGTTGAGGATGTCAGGTGCCACTAGTGGCTCAGATTTAAGGAAACTGCTTTGTCAAAGATACTGCTCAAATATCTGTCAATGGTCTTATCAGGTGTCCTTTCTGGTCAATTTCAAACATTAATTTTAGGACATGCTATACAAATTTCTTTGGGTTTATATTTGGGTTTATAGTCTACCCAAACTTTTCTTTACTGACTTTTTAGACAAATATTTAAGGAATAATATTTATTGGCCACAAAATGGATGATAAAATTGTGCATGCGATATATTAATATAATGTTGGTATATATCTAAATGTTTCAATTGGTTTTAAGAAAATGTTCTTAATTAATAAAGTTTAAAATAAATTACAAAGACTGTAAGTAGGGGAGAAATGTAGAAATAGAAGAAAAGGTCAGAATGGTGATACAACTTTCATAAAACAAAACTTTTGGAAGTGTTGAAGGGAATGTCTCTTATTCTTTTATTATTCTCCTCTCTGCTCCATGATATCAATCCCTGCAATATCAGCAGAATGACACATCCAAAAACCTACTCTTCACTCTATTAGAGGGAATTTAATTTAAGACTGTAATATGTTAATGTGAGTATCCTCTTTAAGTGCTGTGCATAGTTTTCAATTTGTTAAGGAATTTTACATATGCACGTGCACACACTTTCTTTTTTTTTTTTTAAAGATTTATTGATTGATTGATTTATACATACAAGCACTGTGTACAGTCAGAAGCGCGGGAGGGTGAGAGAATTCACCAGAGCCAGAGCAGGGAGCAGAGCAGGCAGAAGGACCGAAGTACACTGCTGAGGGGAGCAGCAGGTGGCAGGAGAGGTCTGTGTGCCATGTGGGACCCTCCTCTGGTGGCCGGGGAGCAGCCGAGGATCGAACCAGCGCTGCAGAGGCTGCGGGCAGCTTCGCAACCCAGCGTTCAACCGCAGCGCCACCAGGGAGGCCCCACACACTTTCTTTAATGACCAGCTGTGTGGTTGTATTACTGGTTGGATGTTTGGAATACAGTAACACATTTGTGACTGCTCCTTTACACTTAATTGCATATAATAAATCCTTAATAAATGGGTATATTGAATTTTAAATGAAATATAGGCTAAGCAGAAAACATTTTATCTACTCTTCACATACATGCCTAGGTTTTGGAAAGCTATAGACCTTAAGGATGTATAATGTAGACTAGGAATGGTTGAAGAGCTAATTTTCAAGATAGGACATAATGGTAATTTGTTAATAGAAGTAGTGAATCATGACAATTTTGGCAAACTCTACTTTTGTTATCTATTTAATTCTCCCCAAATAAGAAAATTAGACATGCATTTAAAGAACACAAATAGTAGCAGGTCAAAAATAGACATTTCCTTTTAGTTGAAATAGATATAATATGCCGTAGTAATAGAGAACTGAAGGATTTAAGAAAATTTACAAGAATGAGTGTGCATTAGTCTTTGTTGAAGATGATTTTTTTGATATTTCTGACTCCTGGAAACAGTCATTTTGAGAATATAATAGATATTAAGACAAATTAGTTCAAATATTTTTCTCTGGTTCTATTTTATGCATCACCCAGAAATATAATGCAATTGATTATGACTGACTAGAGATTTATAAAAAAGCTTTAATACTAAGTTAATTTTTTTTTTTTAAATTTTGGAGTGTGGTTTTGGCCCTATAGGATATAGTGGCATGTGTTTGTTACACATATCTTCAGAATCATTTTTAAGTATATTTTGAGAATGGTTGCCTTTAGAAAACTTTAAAACATCAAATATAATTTTTAGATATCTAAAAATTATAATTAGTTGCAGAATTAGAGAAAATTGTTAAAACCATGTTAAAATTGAAAATTTTAATACATATTTTTCTGCAAGTTATTTCATTTCATTTTTTACCATAGAGTTTTGGAGTTCTCATTGTAAAAATGAACCTTTTTTTTTTTTTTTTTTTTTTAAGACATGCCCTGTTTGCCTTTAGAGGAAAAGACTATGTAGAGGAAAAACTGGAAAGAGTATCATGAGCTTATAATGGTGTAAAAGCGTCCTCTAAGTAGGTTCATGATCACAGTGTGACAGCATCTTACAAGAGAAAGGGGTCCACTCTCTTTATAGGACAAAGTCTTGTTTAATGAAAACAATAACATTGTGTAGAAAGCAGGGACATTTTGTTCTGAATATACAGAAAATAAAGACATGTGATAAGCCAAGACTTGTGATTAATATAAGAAACTCTTGCATGTGCAAATTCATCATGACCTGTTTTTGAGAAATACACACATATTAGAAGGGATAGCATCATTCTTTGGAGATATACATAGTGTATCCACAAATTATGATGAAAAATATATAATGTGGTCATCCAGATGATAAAAATTAGTTTGCAGATATCTTAACACTATTTCAAAAGACTACCAGGGCCAAGAGCAATATTGAGAAAGTGAAAATAAAATGAAAACATATAAGAGAGACATTCTGGAAGGGATTTTATCCCTCCCAACGCTAGAGGAGATAAAAGTACTAGAATGTATGTGATTCTAATAATTTAATATACTCTACTCAGGAATGTAAAGAGAATAACTGCTTGACCACATTCAACTGCAAAATTCATGAAGAAACCTTTAAGTAGCCTTGAAATGAAACAGTTTGTAGCCAGAAAATACAAATCAAAATTGATTCTAATTTAAAATCAATTTAAGGGCTTTTTTTTTTTTTCTTGAAGCCAGGGGCTGAAGAGTGTTTTTGTAAGGATCTTGCCTAAAACATGGATGGTATAGAAAAATTAAATAGTTCATTATGCTTTTTATTTTAAATCAAAGACTCTGAAAAGGTACAATTTTCAGTTTTTCAATGTTGCTCCTTAATGACTGTGTCTATAATAAACTGAAGAAGCCTGAATTTCTCCAGCTTTCTAAAACAATAAATGTTCCTCCTTCTCTGAGCTGCATCTGTCTTGGTAAAATTTCAGCCATCAACATAGTGGCATAGGGGCAAAGCAACCACTAAACATAGATCTAGAATTTCATTTAGAAGGAGGATTTCAAGTTTCTAAGGACAAGGGATGCACTTCCAGTGCCATCTTTCCCTTCCCTTTTGTCCTACCATATCTACAGTCTAGCCTTCACTGAAGACATGGCAAACCCCCTGGTGAACTAGGCTGATGTCAGATAGTTTATTGCCTGTGACATGCACCAGGCTGAAGGTTGACCCTTCCTTCTGCTCACTGGCTCATTCTCACAGATCTAGCTTACTAAAGACATTTCCTTCTATAAACAACTTCATTGCACTCCTTGCAAAACAGATTAGGGCAAAGCCATTTTTAAATGGAACTCAAACAGGATAGTGCAGAAGGAATGAGACTGTAATGGGTCCACATTTTAAAGGAATTACAAAATTTTTCATTCTCTCCCTCCTTGCTGAAGGTATTTTCTAGCAATATAATCTCTAAATTTTGCCTTAAATTTAGTCTCAAAAAACTATAGGATGATGAAGGTTTCTCAAAGATTTTATCATCAAACTATATAGACAATGAAGGCAAGGAGAGATGAATGTGCAGTAATCATGTGACAAACCCAGACAGATAGGGAGAGAAGTAAATAAATAAATAGGTAGGTTGTAAGGAGGGTATCCTTACTATACCCTTAACAGATATTTAGTTAGGCTTTTCTTCTCTTTCTGAAAGTGTTATCAGTTTGGGTTGTTTGTTGTTCATTTTAGATTTTACTTAATCAGCTAGAGGAGTGTTTGGATTGGATTATAACCAACACTTTTTCTCAAGGTATTTAGTATCAACACGTTATTTATCAATCAATCTATGCTTCAAAACAGACTTTCTCCTTATTTTTATAACTTCCCTAATTTTGGACTTTTTATGTCTGTATAAGACCTCTTTGACTTTCTGAATAGCTCAGCTTTCAAATATAAGCATCTCCAAAGAAGCTGCGTTGGATATGCATGCTGTTGGCCAAGTGGTGTTGACTCCTTGGGATCTTGGGTTGTGTTCATAACAAAATAAGTAAGGAAAAACTAAGAGTATTCATGTAAAATGAAAAGCATATTAATTTTTATGAAATTTTGTGTGACTTTGTAAAGTTTAGGTGACTAGAGGTTAGAGAAAGCAGTATAATTTTATCCTATTTAAATTTCAACATTGTTGTATCTCAAAATTATAAGGTAGCTGATAGTCACGTTATATTTTATTATTATATTTTTGCATCCTATGCAATGTTGAGATCAGAGAGAACCATTTTATTCATATTCAACTGAAACTGAAACACATTTTATATTTATATTAAAAGGACAGAGCTTAAAAATGTAGAGAACAAGATATTTCTATCACATTGTCATAGTTTTAACTAAAGATTCTGAGTTACTGACAATACCAAAAAGAGGTTTATTCAATCATTTTTGTGCTGTTGTTATTACATTTACTTTACCAGAGAATGATTTTTCATATTCCCTTTTGAAATTCTAATCTGAAACCTTTCTTTTTGAATTTGCTGTAGTTTTATCTGGTTCCTTAAAGCAAGGTGTGCAGCAGATGCTCACATTTTGGCATAATGCAGTTCATTTGAACAGAAATATTCTATTTAGATATTCCATAATTCTGTAGAACTTTGGAGAAAATGCAGTTATCAAAAACCCAAGAGCAACTGAATTGGTAAGATGACCCCAGAGCACCCCTTAACCTTTACTGGCCAAGGCTCTCCAGGAAGCTCACGAAGCCAGCTTACCTAGTAAGTCTAACCTAGATGTCCAAAGGAAAGTCGTAGTATGCTTAGAAACTTCCTATGCTCATATTTTCTCCTATATATAAATCTTTACCTGATCAGTGCCAAGAATTTCCTAAGATAAAGTATAACCACCGAGACTGTGTTTCAGTCATAAAGGCAAAATTATGATGAAACAGCTGCAGTTTATTTTTTGTGCAGCTATTTTGGACCTTTTTATCCACTTGCCATGTTGATTCCAGAACCAATGTGGATTATATTTTTTAAAATGTTTTCTATAAATGATTGCTTTCTTTTCAGGTAGAATTTGAATTTTTTATTTGAAAACTAGTATCATGCTTTTGAGATGACAATGTTATTGTTAATAATCCTGGACTTTGATATTTTGGAAATATTAAGAGGAATCAAAGGCCTAAGTAGATGGCATATCCCTCCAAGACTGTGTATTAATATTTTCACACCTAACACGCTATAATGGGAATAACAAATATGATCCTTTGAAAATACTGCATATTTTATAATTTTTATCAAGACACATAGACTAATAGAAGCCCCTTCCTCTAAAGGAACAATTTCACTCTCCTCTATAGAACCACAATATAAGGGAGAAAATTCTCAGTGAAAATGCAGTAAAATTTTACCTTTTCCACCCTGGGAGATCCTTGTATCACCTGAGTTCTTGGCGTCTGAAACACAAAAAGATGAGGGACTGGTTAGACACCCTGAAATGTGGCTTTCTAACTCATGACCAGACTTAATAGCTTAACCTAGGCATAATTAAGGAGTTCTACATATTCAGGAGAAACTTACTATTACAAAAAATTAAGGGAACAGAAATGAAGGATATGGAGTAAACACATTGCTTGAGGCAGAGAGGCAGAGAGATGAAACACTCTGTAATCCGGGAGTACCATAGATACTGATATCAGGAGCCCAGGATCCTTTCAATTTCCAAACAGGACTGTTTCAAAGTGGGGTTTTAAGATAAACTTTATTATCATGACTAATGCCAGTCCATTTAGTCTCCATAGAGTGACTGCCTAATAAAACACTGCATATAATTCTTCACAGCCGAGTCCTTCTATATTTTTATTACACTCTTACAATCCTTTATTCACACAACATCAACTCTCTTAAACTGCAACTAACAATCTTTCACTTCACTACCGCAAGTGTTCCTGCTGCATTACAACAAGGGCCAACTGTTCCGTGAAATGCACAAGCTCTTTAGGTGTGGCCCTGCTGGTCTCTAGAGGGTCATTGTGTACTGTGACCATCGGTATCACTAGATTCCAGATGTACTGGACTTTCTATTACTTAAACAGAACATTGATTCTTACCTGTGATCTTATTCTTTCCTCTCCTTGAAACATCTTTCTCCAGATCTATCATTCACAAAATTATTCTCAGCTTTTAGGTCTGAGTTCAAAGTCTTCTCTTCAAAAGATATTCTTTAAAAACATTTATAATCATCTGAAACTTATTAGTGTAATTTATACATACATGTTTGTATATAACTATCTATGTAATTCTCTCTCTCTCTCTCTCTCTCTCTCTCTCTATGCTTCTAATCTATCCAAAATATGTTTCCTTGAAACTATGAGATATGCTTTAGAAGATCAGGAACATTTGCACTTTTGTTGGCTGATATATCACTGCTACCGGGAACAGCCTATGCTTATCTATTACACAGAAAATGCTGAATAAACACTTGTTGAGTAAATTAATGCACCCAACAAATATAATTTTTTAAAGACTTATTTATTTATGCATACAAGAACTGGGGTGTAAACCAGAGGTGCGGGGTGTGTGTGTGAGAGGATTCACCAGTGAGAGTGGGGAGCAGAACAGGCAGATCTACTGAAATACACTGCTGAAGGGAGCAGTGGGTGAGACAGGAGAGGTCCGTTGTGCCATGTGGGTAGCTCCCTGGCTGGGGATCAAACTAGTGCTGCAGTGGCTGGTGACAGCTTGATAGTGCTGTCTTTAACCCCTGTGCCACCCCAAATATCTTTCAAAGATATTGACTTCACAATCTGACCTTTACTCCAATGCAATGTGTTCCTCAGAGAGATTAAAGGGTCATGCCTATATCACATAGTATTTGTCCAGAAAAATCAGACTTAAAACCTGAATGTTTTGAATCTTGTTCAGTGAACTTACTACTTATCAGACTACACTGCTTTTCTCATTTGTGCTTTAAGCAGTAATCATCTTTCTGAATTACCACTTGAAAACATCTGTTATTTCAATAATTACTAGCAGGATATCAACATTATAGGAAATTCCCTGTAGTAACAGCTCTACTGCTATCTAGCACTTATAGAGTATATAATATAATGTGTATATATGTGCATACATTTATGTATGTGTATTTGTGTATAAATATACTTATGTTTGTACATATTTAAAGCTCAGCTTTTCAGACTTTGCCTGTATAAAGACTGATTTTTATTTATTTATCATCAACAATTTCATTTTCACTGAAGTACTATTTTAAAATATTCCCAAGCACTGTGATAACTTATCATCACCATCATAATCCCATGCATAACTCTATTCCACGTATTTTTAATGAAAATTTGTGCTAATTTTAAAGAATCTACTGATATTTTATACATTGGACATTATGGATTATTATGAAGAAAATATCTGATTAATGAACATTTATTCCATCTGTATTATTTTATTTCCATTTTCATGCAATTTCCTAGTTACATAAGGGGCTCATTCATGTTTAGTTCCAGTTAGGTCAATAATTTTTGAACTGAACTTCATTAGAAGTACCTGACTCATGTCTCATCTTAAATAGAGTATTTCAAAGCACAGAAATATCTTGATTTTCCTTCAGGTGATCCACAGAAAAGCCTGAGTACTTTCTAGGTATTTCTAATAACACTTTAGAGTCTACTGCCAAGTCAATAAAATATTTTACTAGAGCATATGAATTAGATTCTGATGTTCTAGTGTGCCTTAAATAATAAAAACATATACACATATATATACGCCCTCCCCCCACCTTGTAGGGATTTCAACTTGGAGGAAAAGAGGAAGAAATGATTGAATTTTTCCAGAACTAGGAAAGAGAAAGTTTCCTTAACTGTTTCCATAGATCTCAGCCAAAGCACATACATATGAACACATCTTTTTAATCCTGGTCCTGGGCCTAAAGAGGTCTTGATTTCAAACTACCATTTCTTCACCAATAAAGCAAGTCAACCATACCACTATTTACAATTTGGCTGAAGTTCATTCACAATAATTCTCTGACTATCTTGAACCTTTACACTATGGGTTATAAACCTTCTGTTTTAAAAAAGAATGGTGTCACATACCACTAAGGGAATTTCTGATGGGCTGTAGAGAAAGACATATCTTTGGTAAAAGGAGTCTATTTATTTTAATTGCAATTGTGCTGAGTGAAAATGAGGTTTAGGGATAATCATTAAGTATATATTTGAATAGAAAAATATGTAAGGGCATTAAGATATTAGATTTATATGGATGATTGTTTTCCAGTAAATTTTTTTCAAATTTTATGAATTTTCCAAACTACTATGAAGGTGTTTTCAGCGTATTCTAATTTTTTAATAAACAACATAATGTATTATATTGGACTCAAGCCTACCCTAAAGCTTTTTTAATATTTTGTTTTGTATATAAATTTGAAACTACATTTCATTTTAAAACAGTAATAACAGACACACTGAAAATTATTACATAATAAATTTAAGGTTTAAGGCATATGGCATGATGGTTTGATTTACATGTGTTATGAAATGATTACCACAAAATCAGCTAACATATCACATGGATAGAATAAAAAGAAAAGGAAAAAAAATTCCTTGTGATGAAATCTCCTAAGATTTACTTTTTTTTTTTTTTTTTTAAAGATTTATTTATTTATTTATACAAGCACTGGGTACAGGCAGAAGCACGGGAGGGTGAGAGAATTCACCAGAGCCAGAGCAGGGAACAGAACAGGCAGACTGACGAAATACACTGCTGAGGGGAGCACTGGGTGGCAGGAAAGGTCGGCGCACCATGTGGGACCCTCACCAGTGGCCGGGGATCGAACCAGCGCTGCAGAGTCTGCTGGCAGCTTTGCAGCCCTTCGCTCAACCTCTGCGCCACCAGGGGAGGCCCACCTAAGATTTACTCTTAACAAATTTCCTACATATCATAAAGCAGTGATAGCCACCGTCATCATATAGTACATTTCATTCCTAGTAGTTTTTAATCTTATAACGGGAAGTCCATCTTCCTCCAATTCCCCCTCCATCCACTTTCCTCCTCTAGTAAACACAAGTCTGATTTTTTTTTTCTATGGGTTTTTTTGGATTTTTTTTGTAATGTGTAGAATAGCATTCACAAATTAGTGTGGGAAATGCTGGTGTAAATAAAGTTGACCATATCTACTTAAAACATGATTAGCATGCCAGTGTTCAATACAAATCTTCTAAGAGGCCTTAAAATAAACAGTTTTCCAACAATGGAAACTTTTTGTCCTTCTGAATATTCACTGACTGCTCATGATACATCAAAGAAAGGTGTTTGTGTTAACTGGCAAGGGAAATAAGTGAGAAGGGAAAGCATAGGAAGTGAGTGTTTTCTTCTAGTTCTCTTTCCTCCCCTCTCCCGAGTCCTAGATGGTATGCAGAACTTCATGTTCTGTGCCCCTTCCCCTTCTGAAGCCATCACTCAGGTCTCCCTTCAGGAGCAGGCACTGTGGTCTGCCACAGTTTGAGGGCGTGGAAATTTTGCTATCTGAAGTTTAGAATTTGAAATATGTTTGGAAAAGAAAGAGGATGAACAGAGAGCAAAAATCAGAAACTCTTTAAGGATATGTGTCTGATTATAGTTATGGTGAGAAGTTGTCTTAAAATAACACTGAGTTTTGGGAAATATCTGAGGGCGGTGATTAGTTGAAAATAAGATGAGACACTTGAAGATGATGAATAGGTATGGTAAACACACTTAGGGGCAAGGATAGATGAAAGATTAAAGAAATAGACTTAACACGTGGTTATAATCATTTATATGAATTACTTCCTATTTATGTTTAATCTTATTAGGGCAAAGTAACAATTCCTTATGGCAATCAGTGAACTTAAACATTTTATCTTTTAATTGATTAATACAGTAATCTTTTTAAATTGGCTTTTTGGTCTTTTAATTTGTTGCTTAGACAGCATAGTCATCTACTAACAATCTAAATGTGCAGAAGGGAATAACACATAGATTTTGCAACTGGGTATCTCACTGCTCACAACACATTATCATGCTCCATAATACAATCGGCTGTGCCAAAAAAATTAAGTAAGCCAATTTTTTTGTATAGTTGGCTACCTTGTAGTGTTCCCTTAAAGTGCAGCAATTATTCCTTTCCCGACACAGGAAACAGACATTAGTAAAAAGGATTCCAGAAAACCTCTACCATACTGCCAACCACTGCAAGTGTGCTTGCAGGGATTAGCATATATTTTTCAAATAAGAATATATTTAATGAGAGACCCTTGATAAAAATGAATATAAAAAACAGATACCATTTAAATTACATAGATCTCACTCAGTTCCATAAGACAGTCACTGTGTATCTTATATCTTATAATAGGAAGAGAACCAAAACTCAACCTTGAAAACAAAATGAGGTTGAGTCCACCAGTTGACAACAAAATAACTGGAAAATCTATTTTAATACTTATGTAAAAAGAAAATTTAGATATTAGTTCTCCTTGATCATACACCTCAAAGTGTCTTTATTTTTTTAATATTTATTTATTTATGCACACAAGAGCTGGGGTGTAGGCCAGAGGTGCAGGGCGGGGGAGGGAGGTGAGAGGATTCACCAGAGGCAGAGTGGGGAGCAGAACAGGCAGATTGACTGAAATACACTGCTGAGGGGAGCAGCAGGTGAGACGGGAGAGGTCTGCTGAGCCATGTTAGTTAGCTCCCTGGCCAGGGATCAAACTGGTGCTACAGTAGCTGTGGATCACTTCACAGTGCTGACACTTAACTCCTTGCACCACTAGAGAGGGTCCTTCAAGTGTCTTTAATTGTAAGAAATTAATCTATGGCGCGCAGACCTCTCCTGCTGCCCGCTGCTCCCCTCAGCAGTGTACTTCGGTCCTTCTGCCTGTTCTGTTCCCCGCTCTGGCCCTAGTGAATTCTCTCACCCTCCTGTGCTTCTGGCTGTACCCAGTGCTTGTATAAATAAATAAATGAATCTTTAAAAAGAAGAAATTAATCTATAGATAAGACTATTATTTTAAATAAGGGATATATCCAGTGCAAAGGAATTTAGGAAGAAAATATATCTATTACCTGTTGTCTTTCTTTTCGTACTTTTCATGATAATAAGTGCACATTTTATTAAATCCAAGAAAATCCCAGTGGTGCCTACTTTACTTGATCTAGAAAAGGAAAGGCTGAAAGAGAAAGCTCAAAAGCAAGCCTAATTAATACGGTAAATTCTAGCTTTTGTGACGATACCATATATTTTCAATTTATTATTTTCCGACTGAATGTCAGTCCTGAAATTTTAATAAAGTGTGAGGTATGGAGTCTTAAGGACTATCAGCTTAAACTAGGGAAAAACATCAATCTAGTGAAATATATTTGGAAATGGAGTGTGTGATAGAGTGAGACAAAATCTTGGGGAACTGACTGGTAGAAAGAGTGACAAAGGGACAATGGTAAGAAGCAAAAGGTGAAGATAGCTGAGCCTGATTGCTCACAACTGTTCTCCAAAGCTAGAGTAGCCACTGAATATTCAAGCTGAGGCTGGAAATGAGTTCTAAGGCACATTTTATTCCCTCTCAATCTATATCTTCCATTTTGAAGTTTTTAAAGGGAAAACCCCAGATTATTGTTATGTCAATGTGCTCATTTAAGCATTCTGAAGTCAATTAAATTGCTTGCAAAAAAATAAAAAAAAAAAAAGGTGGGCCTCCCTGGTGCCACAGGTGGTTAAGCGCAGCGCTATGGAGCTGTCCACAGCCTCTGGAGCGCAGGTTTGATCCCTGCCAGCCGGAGAGATACCCACACAACACGGCAAACCTCTTCTGTCTTGCCCACTACTCCCCTCAGCAGTGTATTTCATCAATCTGCCTGTTCTGTTTCCCTCTCTGTCTCTGGTGAATCCTCTCACCCTCCCACATATCTGGCCTGTACCCTGGTTCTTGTATGCATGAATAAATACATCTTTTTTAAAAAAAGGTAAAATATATTGCATTAGTTGTTGAATGACCTGTTTTCATATTCAAATTATTTTATCACTTGAAATCCACATTTTTGGGCCTCCCCGGTGGCGCAGTGGTTGAGCGCTGGGTTGCGAAGCTGCCCGCAGCCTCTGCGGCGCCGGTTCGATCCCCGGCTGCTCCCCGGCCACCAGAGGAGGGTCCCACATGGCGCGCAGACCTCTCCTGCCGCCCGCTGCTCCCCTCAGCAGTGTACTTCGATCCTTCTGCCTGCTCTGCTTCCCGCTCTGGCTCTGGTGAATTCTCTCACCCTCCCACGCTTCTGACTGTACCCAATGCATGTATAAACAAAAACAAACAAACAAATAAATAAAAACATGCCTCTAAAAAAAAAAAAATGTTTAAAAAAAAAAAAAAAAAAAAGAAATCCACATTTTGTGTAGTATATAACATGAACTCTTTGAGAGAAAGTTAATACTGGAAGTTGTTAACTATTTACAAGGGAATTACTGTGGGATTAAATACTGTTTATTGATTTTCAAAAGATTCACTATTGCATATACTATATGTTTTTTTTAATACTCAAATCTAGAGAGAAAAAGGCATGATAAATGACATTAATTTTTTAGATGCTGGACTGTTATTTCTCTGAACTGAAGCTGAAAACGACAGTCATATTTTCCTTTCTCACCTAATAAGAAATTGTTTCCTTTTCTATAAGCAACATTTTTCCTTTTTTTTTTTTCATTTGAGTGGCTGTATATCCTTGAAAATGTCTGTGTTGAGTTGTCACCAAGCTACAATAAATATCGTTTATTGGTTGATATATATGCCATCAGAGATCAATAAAATAAAATCCTGTTGAACTTGAAATAGAACCTATTAAATTATTTTTTTAATGCCATAAGATGTTCTCATCTTCAAAACTGAAGGTATTTGTATGATTGCCAGGTTTTTCCCAGGGAGTAACAGGATAAATCAGGTACAATTTATTGCAACAAAGCAATCATTCAAAAAAAAAAACAAAAAACACCCTTGAGTCTTTAAAGCGTTAATAAAGCCTGCTGCAGTATATTATATACTTCCCAAGAGTAGCCTAAATACCAGGATGATCTGACAAGCTAAGCAAGAATATTTAAGTTAAAATCATATTTGTGGGCTAACCTATTTTCATTACAATGTGAAATGGCTTGGTATCATTAGGTGTGTCCATTCTTGAAATATTTATTAAGCAGCAGCTGACTTCTCCATATAGTCTCTGCCTCTCAAAGTGGCATATTCGTTCTCCATTGAAAAATACTAACTGTGAAATTTCATGTGTAAGCAGTAAATTATCAGGACTTCACAGTGGACCAATTTTAGAAATAACTAATCAAAGTCAATGAATTTCCCATTTGGTTGTGAGTGTGTGGTGGTGAGGTCTAATATGGGCTGCTGATGGACACTCACACTCCCAATTTCCTGCTTCATTAGAGCGTGTCACAGAAGTGAAGACTGACATCTTCGTCACCAGTTTCGGACCCGTTTCAGACCATGATATGGTGAGTGACACTGCATTTTTGGTTTTCTTGGAGTATTATTTAAATTTAACTTTTGAAAGAGAAATGTAGACTTAGTATTTAAGAAGCACCTTGAAACAGCTTGGATACAGTTTATGTTTTCTCAGTGTAAACACTGTGCAATATGTAATTAATATATATTATATATAATATATATAATAGAAAACAGGCATTCACTTGTCTGACCAGGCCTATCTATGATTATTAACCACTATAGTATTTTTCTCCATCCCTGCAACAATTGCTTTGCCTTTATGCTTATGTTTTATAAGTCAAATAGTGCAAGTTATCTTATATTTTAGTTAAGAGGATGTGGTGATTCAAGGATTCAGGGTTTCTGAGTAGCCAGCACTGTTATAGAACAGTCACAAACATCATCTCTGACTGTTTTTGGCTAAAAAGGAGAAGTGAGTATGAAAGCTGAGTGAATACTTGACCAGAATTAGACAAAAAAATAAATAAATAAATAAATCAAAATAAAATACACCAGTGTGAAATGCTCAGCTCACTGCAAGACATTCATTAAATTATTACCAAGTGGCAATGAAATGAAAACATGCCTGTTATTTACTTTTTTGAACCCAAGTAAATTAACTTGAGTTTCTCTTCTAATTGATGGAAACTGGTAATTCCAAAGACCTCTACAGATATTAAACATTTCTGATCATATAATAGCCAAGCTGGTATATAAACAAAAAATCATAAAGAGACCATGAAAACACATCATTATGAACATTTTAAAAAGTTTATTGAACATGATTTTTGAAATGTCTTTCTCTTGATACCATCTTAACGTAAATGTCCTCTAATTTCATACTTGCTCAGCATGATTCAGAAGTAAAGTTACAGAAAATATTAACTTAGACCAGCATTTCCAAAGGCCTGGGAAATTCATAGTGTGCCCACTTGAAAGGGTCAAAGATCTGACAGGTCTTAAGATAAAGAAAACTGTTCAACTACATTTAATCAAGTGTTTTTAATCATATTTGTCCCAAACTACTTTTTTCTTCTTTATATTATACCTATCAACACTCTATAAGACTAGTGCTCTGTCAAAGAGACATCAGGGAATGCTGGCTTGGGGGACAATTAAATATTTTAGGTCATAAGATAGGTTATGAAATGGACCAACTTCGCAAACTAAAGTTAGCAGAGCATTCATGTGACAGCAGACTGGTAGGTAAAAATACAGATTTCTGAATGAGAACTCCTGGGTTTTTAACCCCAGCTTTTCCACATGTAAGGGTGCATTCTTGGGAAGTTACTTCAGATCTCTCTGGCTCAGTTTATTCATGTGGACAATGAGAGTAATAATGAATTAATAAATGAAAGTCAATTAAACACTTGGCATATAATAAGCATTCATTATTATGCAAGGACTAAAAATACAAATGTTGGTCATCACAGTTGATATTTCTGGCAACTTACTTTGTCATTCTGTTGAGTCTGTACACTACTTTATTGAAACACCATGTAATATAATTTTTTGCTACCTGGATCACTCTCTAAGAAGCCATGTGTTTCTGGCCATGTTGGAATTCAGTATTCTACAACACTCTTCTTTCACACAACTTTTCTAAATAAGAAACTTGGATAACTCCCTATCAAGTTTAAGGTCAAATCCAAGCTCCTCTGCCTGTATCACACATAATCCACACATGATTTTGCCACTTGCCTCACTTGGTCACAATGCAGACCATTTATCATTTGTGTAATTCCTATTTTCTAAGGGGCAAAATCACTTGGGGGTTAGCAGGACTGGCAACAGGATCCAGACTGGCTGATTTCTCATCATACAACCAACAGTAACATGACTTTGAGCAAATCATACCTGTAAGGATGAAAGTGTCTAATAAATTATTATTGTAATTCCTTATGTAAGATGGTTGTGATTTTCAAATGAGATATGTAAATAAAATACAAATAGTAGTAAATAACTATTTTTTCATTATCATTTTTGCCTCTGAACCCTGTATCATGTCATGAACCTTTCGTAGAAATTTCTTGTATTTCCCACACATCTAAATCCTATATTTCCACAAAGGCCCAAATCGAGACTTGCTAAAAACACTATTTTTTATTATTCCAGTGACAAATTAACTTTCCCTTTCTGCACTCTCATTACATTTATTGACTGTAAAATGTAATTTAGCTTTTGGTCTCATATATAGCACATCTTATAGATTTACTTCTTTTATATAAATGTCCTTTTCTCCTAAAATGTCACCCAAAGTCAAAAAGACACACTTTCACAACCCTCATAGTGTTGTGCTTTGTGTGGTTACAGTAAGTGTTGAATTAGTACTTATTTGGTGATAGTTTTAGGAGTCTTAATTATTTCTAACGAATTAAAGTTTAAGGGACTCAATACCTTACACCTGCTATCCTATCTGCAGTGTGAACTTTTTGAGAAATAATAGAGAAAGGATTATGGAAAATGAAAAATAATCTTAAGTAATAAGTATATTACATAAAGTAGTTTATATCTATAGGTACATGGGTGTCCGGAGAGTAAACACCAGAATAATCCAGATTAGCACACCCAGTCAGCAAGCAGTCTTGGCTTCTCTCTGCTGTGATGTAGAAGGTCCACATAAAACTTATAGCAAGGAAAACAGCAGAATTTGTTAAGTCTAAAGGACAGACATCATCATCCAACATGATAAAGGCAAAAAGAAGAGGCTGAGACAGGCAAGAGATATTTCTCCTCTACATTCACCTATCAAGTTAAATTATGTCTTCCGCCTCCCCTCTCCAAATGGAAGAGGAAATAGAGAGCATTCAGAAATTTTACTTTGGTAAAGCCCTTTTCTCAATGATTAAAACATCAAGAGACTGGATGAGGCAACACATACCAATACCAATATTATTCCTCCTCCTCCCCATTCCTCCTAATCATAATAATAATACAATAAAAATGATCATTTTCTCTTTCCAGAACCTAGAATAGTACCTCAAAAAAGAATAGATTCTCAATAGGAATTGTTAAGGGGCCATACAAAAAAAGCCATATGTAATCAAAAGTTTTCTCCTGAAAAGTACTTTGGCAAGCTTTTGAGTTATTGCTTCAGATTAACTATGGTCAAAGTCACCAACGATGTCTTTTTTTTTTTGGTCTCAGACTACAGGTTCATACTAGAATTTTCAGTGCACCATTAACTCTATGGTTATTAAGATTTACTCTTCATATGTGGCTTTTGGTCAAATATCAGACAGAAAGAAGGACAGAGTATGTAAGTCAATGATGCTGCCTATTGCCAAAATTCCAGAACCACACAATATTTGAATTGTTCTGTCAAAGGAGCAAATTAGCTACAGGTCTGCAACTAATTTGCTATCTGAGTAGTAGAAATTGTACCTGACCACTTTGTTTTAGAAGATTAATCATCTAAACCACATGATGGGAGAATTATGCAAGAAAGAACAGTGTGATTTCAAATTAAAATTAGAGGGCAGAATGACAAAGCTATTTTTCAAGAGAGGAAAAGGTTCATAGTTGTGAGAGTGAGAATAACATATGCAATTAGTAATAATAACCATAACAACAGTCAACAACATTATTGAATGCTTATACTTTGCTAAGAGTTTTTGGATCATACTTCATTTACTCCTTATGTCAAACATTTCAACTACATATTATTATCCACATCATCTAAAGGAGGAAAGTGACCCAGCTAGCTAAGTGTAGCAACTTGAACCCAGGCTGTGTGTCCCTAGAGACTCCATAGTTCCCAAGGCATCTGACTTCATCTGGAATAGAAAACAAAATTAGGACAACTCCCTAAACTTTATTTTAAAAACCGTTAATTGGCAATCAAACAGCACATTCCCAGGGCATTAGGTTCTGACAGAAATATCCAGGCAGCACAATCACTGAGCCCTGTTTTCCACAGTGCTTGAAATGTAGTAAGTTAAAGTACACACAGATGGCAATAAAGTGCAGTGGGAATGCTGCAAGACAATATTTATTCAGGAACACAACAAATGTTCTGTCCCCATCGTCAGGATAAGACCAACATTCTCCAAGGACCTACTGTGTTGAACAGGATCACTGGGAGAAACTTTTCTATTGAGTGGGGCTGGGGCACTTAGCCTGAATGAATTTTTATCCAGAGCTTCCTGTTTGTCCAGAACACTCTTCTGTGGAGCCCTCTCTTTTGCCTTCTGTTTTTGCCCTGCTTGGTTGTGATCATCTTATTTGCTTAGGTTTCCTGTTCTTCCATTCTCCCAAAGAAATAACACTTTTCATTCTCCACTACATAGATGCCTTTTATAAATTTGTATTGCTAAAGCCATAAATAGGAGAGAAATGAAAGTTCCCAACGTTTACCAAGTTTCTTAATGTTTCCAACATTCTTGCAAGTTGCTTACCCCTTTCTCACTGCCACCTCCCCCACATTATAGTATAGGAACTGGACCTTAGAGAAAATGAGACAGTTACCCATGCAAGTCAGTAGGTAGCTGGCAATTCTAGTTAGCAGATATAGGATTTACAGCTGTAGCCATTATGCTATGGTTGTTTCCTCTACTCTCCCTTATTCCAACTCTGAAAAGGGGCTCCAGTCATCTTGTTCTAATGATTTGTGACCATGGGGCATGGTCAAGCTCTACAAGAAGCTTCTAGGAGCAAGCAAATAAATGAACAAAATGTTTGGATTCCTCGGAATGTACACAGCTAAGGCATCCTGGGAGCCTTGATTTACAAGTGACCATAGACTCCAGTGTTACCCAAGCTAAAGCAGTTCAATTGCATAGAGAACAGAGTTCATGTGGTGATTCTGGAGTGATAGAAATATCATTATCAAGCCCTATTGCATAAGCTTGTTTGTTGGGGGGAGAGAGAGAGAGAGAGAGAGAGAGAGAGAGAGAGAGAGAGAGCATTCAGAGTAAATCATCTATGGCTGTTTCCCTGGCTAGCACTGCTATTCTGTATTCCTGATTTTATCCACAGGCTCCCTCCCTTTTATTTCCTCATGGAAAATACAATTCTATGATGCACATCCTTCTCCATGAGTTTTTCTAATAGCATCTAAGTGTAAATCGTTTCTTCCTCTGTTGAATTTAACAGAGGCTTGGCATGTTTCTTAGTGAATACATAATGGGTCACATATTTCAGTGTCTTTCTTCCAGCACTTCCAGACACAGGAAAATCTAATCAACCAACAAGGCAAATTCTCTTGCCTACAAAGATAGAAGAGCATCATGTTACACTTCCTTGATTCTCTCTCAATCAGCAGTTATCACAATGCCTGGTGCATTATAAACTAACCAATATCAATGCCAAACATATGATGGAATGATGAGCCTTCATTCATCCTTTACCCAGTTTTGCTTAAACCGTGGGAAAATAAGGAAGCTTCTTTCAAGCATGAGGCACCTAGATACAGACATTATTTATTGCAGGTCCTAGAGGCATAACCATATATAAGATAAAAAAGTGGGGGAAAACACAACAACAGTACTCTCATGCATTAGGGTTTAGGGGATTAAGAAAATGTAGCTGATGTTTTTCTAGTTAGTCTGCCTTCCAGTCTGAAACATGCTAAGATTAACAAAGAATGTGGTAATTTTCACTTCAAACCACTAGGTTCCAAATTAAGTGTCAGTGTAGCAAGTACTACAAGGAAGATTGATATTACCCTTTTTCAGTTTTAGGAGTTGGTAAGTCACACTGCTTGTTTTCAGATTAGCACATGTTTGTCTCTGGGTATTGCAGGAAGGAACGATGCATTTATTCAAATAAACAGATTCCCTAGCTCTGAATGATGATGAGCTTCATGCATTTCTCATGTATCTTATACACACTCACAGACACATACACTGCATACCTGCTTTCTTTTATTTTTAAACATCCAAATTACTGGTGAAATGGATTCATTATTTACAGTCTTCATTGTGTAGAATAAAAAAAGTCTATATACATTATTTGTGGAGGGAAATGATTTAGTCAAAAAAGAAGACAGGTCATCCACACTAGAAGTATGGATGACTTGGGATCAAGTAAGATTTTTAGAGTCAATGGGAGGGTTCCTGAAGACATAATGCTTTAATGCTTCTAAGTAAAACTGTCCAATTTGAACATTTTCCTGTATGTAGTAATCTCTAACATGACTTCTGCTTTTATTTGTAATATATTCTATGTCTTTGAGTGATGGTTTCTTAGAGATGGGGTTGGGATTACAGTATTGTTTTCTTTTCACTTAACTGAGGAGGTAATTGGAAGAATTTTTCTAACCAAAACATATTTCAGGCATTTAGATATTTGTAAAAAATGATTATTCAAATCTGGGAATCACCTGACACCAGTATGTACAGACAGCCACATACTGGTGTTTACTATTAGAAACCTCACCCGGCTCATATTTTGCTTCTAAAGTTGCAAAAAGTATGCATTGTCTAGGAAGCTATTTGCACTGCAAAATACAGCACAGTGAACTTTGCCATTTTCCACAATTATCCAGGAGTATACAATAGATGTATTTTTCCGTCAAAGCTGGAAGGATGAAAGGTTAAAATTTAAAGGGCCCATGACGGTTCTCCGGTTAAATAATCTAATGGCGAGCAAGATCTGGACTCCAGATACCTTCTTTCACAATGGGAAGAAGTCTGTGGCACACAACATGACCATGCCCAATAAACTCCTGCGGATCACGGAGGATGGTACCTTGCTGTACACCATGAGGTAAGGAGGCTGCTTTCTCCTCCAGTGTAAGCCATAATGGGGCCAGCGGCCATGATAAGGTATTTGTTTTTCTGTTCATGATAAATAAGCCAAAATTTTATGCAAGTATTAAAATGCTAAATAAAAGGAATAGAAAAAATGAAAGAAAATGTTTACTATATATTAAATAATTCACTAGAGCACACTATCTCCATCATCCTCTAATTCAATATGAGGAACTTCTTCCTACCATAAACTTCTATATTCCTGCATTTCTGTAAGGTCTAAATTAAATTTTTAGGAGCTATATCAAGACACTTATAATTGAAAATATTTCTGTACTTAAAAGGCAAAAGAAATCATTCAAAATTCTTAAAAACAAGTTCATATCTAAGTAGGGTTTTCTTTTTTTTTGTTGAAGTAGCATTGCATTGTAATATTACATAATTTTCAGGAGTGCATCATTAAAATAACATGTGAGGTTGATTAAGTTCACCACTACAATTCTATTCTTCACCTAAGTAAGCGCTTTTTTCTTCTCTGTCAAGACACTGTTTATGGTTAACACAGCTCACACAGCTGAGTGCCACTCCACTTATTTTCATTTATTTCTTTTTTAAAAGATTTATTTATTTATTTTTATGCATAGAAGAACTGGGGTATAGGCCAGAGGTGCAGGGGGTGAGAGGATTCACCAGAGACAGAGTGGGGTGCAGAACAGGCAGATCTACTGAAATACATTGCTGAGGGAAGCAGTGGGTGAGACAAAGAGGTCTTCTGTACCATATGTGGGGTAGCTCCCTGGCCTGGATCAAAGTCAGGCCATCATGTGGTAGCGCTGAGACACACCATTCCTACCGCCACACCATTCCTACCCATTATCCTCCACCATAGTCCTCCACCACAGTCCATTGTGCTCCCTCCTCACTATACTCTACCTTTCTCCTGCTCTCCTTCTAGTAGCCTCAGTTCTACAGTCAGATTTCCAGAGTCCATTATTGGTTTGGCTTTATGTGATTCTTTATTTTGTTTCTCAGTATTCCACATACAAGTGACACATCCAGTATTTGTCTTTTTCTTCCTGACTTATCTCACTTAGTATCATCCCTTCTAGTTTCATCCATATTGTCACACATGGCAAGAGCTTTTATAGTTGAATAGTATTACATTATGTGTAATATGATATCTTCCTAATCTACTCATCTCTCTTTGGCTACTAAGTAAACCTTTTCAAGTACATGCATTTACAATATTGTTGTTAGATTGAGGATACAGATATTTTAAATTTTATTAAATCATGGACTATGCATACATTTTTGCTTGATAAAAATTTTCCCCATTTTGTGATTACTGGAAATCCCAGCATCGAGATAAGAATAACTTGTGGTTAAATGAAGGATTCATGAATCAAAGTTTTGAGTATTTTTAAAGAAAAAGATGTTTAAAATTTTTCATGATTTATAAGAAAATAACAACTGTTCAGGACTCACACTGAAGGGAAATGGTTATTTCATAGCCATATGACTTTTCAGAACTTTTTTGTTTTGTTTTGTTTTTTGGTATATCTGGCTAGCATTCAGGCCATCTACTTATTCTCTTGGTATGAAAGGCAAAATCCTCAACTTGGTGAATTGTTCAGTATGGGAATGAAATGACATTTTTCCTTTGAAGAAAGATTTGAAAATATCTACTTTCTTATGCACACGTATACAAATTAAAAATAAAGAAAAAGTGATGCAAGAGTCACTTTAGATAGCGGGCCAAACTAGAAAAACTTTAGTAGGATTTAAAGAACCAAAAAAGAGGAAAAGAAAGCAGAGATTCTTTGAAGAATTTTATTGAGACCTTTCCAGATTATCTAAGCAAGGTCTGTTTATATTTGAAATTTGAAATAATTTCTCCCTTGTAAAACATTCTACACATGTTTTGAAGTCTAAATCCAGAATTCCTTCCTCACACTCATAGCTGACAATGTTCTGGAGAGGGATTTACATCTACTGCAAAGTTTACTGATTAATAATTTCTTGTGTGTACAGTGTTCTTCCTCAAAAACTAGCTATATATTCCATATCCCAAATGAAATTTCTCACCACATTTGCTAATTTGTTGTCAGTTTCATTAATAGTTTGACATAAAAATGCAAGTTTAATCCTTAATTTATGCATTTCATACTTGCTTCCTTTTTTTTGTTTTTGTTTTACTTTCTATAAAGCCACCCTAACTGTATCTCAAGTTACTTGAGAATAGGACAAATATATTTTCTAAAAACCATTCGAGAAATGTAGGTCTAAATTTACTTATAATTCTACCAAATGAGATCAAATATTTGTCATTGAATTCCTTCCTTAGCTTTTTAAAACATAAATACACATTCCCATAAAGACTAAAGAGAAACATGACACAGTTCTGGCTTCAATTAGGCAAACTAAATAGTTGAAAAGAGTGAGATTACATATAAAGCCTTAGAGATTTTACCTTAATCTCATTCTCACTACCCTCATTCTCACAGTTCCTCTTCCACAGATTGTTTCCTTGTTTTATACATTTCTTGCTATTTTAGAGAAGGAGGCAGGGAGAGCTGAATTTAGGATCGAGAACTTTACTTTTCTTCTCTTGCTCATTTTCTAAACCAAGGATGAATTACCACTTATACAAGTATTATGTAATTAGCATCGAGTTTTATTCTCAAATGATTAGCCGTAGCTATGTACATTAGCTGATGGAATTTTTCTTTGAAAACATTAGCAATACTTGCCCATCATACTAAATCAGGAAGTCACCTATTTTCTCAAAACCAGTGAACCAGTAAACCAGTAGAATCCAGCCACCATTAAAAGGAATTCTTTTCCAATTCTTAACAGTTGAGTATAGTGCTACAGTCTGTGCCTATCTCCCCTGCTTCCTTAATAAATTTGCTACAGTTAATGATTCGAAGTGCCTAATCTGTAAGGGTCTTATTTGTCTTATTTGTATCCTTTCCTTAATTGCTAAGGCTGACGGTGAGAGCTGAATGCCCAATGCATTTGGAGGACTTCCCTATGGATGCCCATGCCTGCCCACTAAAATTTGGAAGTTGTGAGTAAATTCATTTTATTTTTCTTTATTCTTATGAGAGACCTAAGATTTAAGCAGGAGACCTCCAACTAGTTATGTCTGTTAGAATGATGAATAAAGAGCTCTCAAGAAAGTTTAAATAGCAATTTACCACAAGTGCTGTCTATAAGTAATCATCTTTGACTTCATTTTTGATATTATTTCAGGTAGAGCTTATTCCCTACCTCCTGGACTAGAAAGCATGGATTTAACTATTTTGTGGGAAAATTCCATTTTTGTTGAAGTTGTATTCACACAAAAATGAGTAGAGGATGGATGCTTATACCCGATAGATATCTTCCTTTCAAGAAAACAGAGATAATTGTGTTTATTTTATATAACTACTGATATTTTGTTTCACCTCAGGAATAATTCAACCTGTTTATCACATGGAAATATTGGTAGGTCACAAAGGACAATAATTAGTTATTTCTTAATAATGCCCATACCTAAGATGTAGCCAGAAATTCAATCTAATCACAGTCACAGAAAAGTGCTATATCCATTTGTATATACCATGAAATGCACATGTATATTAACACTTTTAAAGGTATCTTAGCTAAACCCCCTTAATAGGAACTATCTTTCTTTGTGATCTTTGAAAATAAGCTGCACACCTTAGAGGAGCCATGAGAACAGTGACTCAGAGACCTGCCCTGCTGGTTTTGACTACTAAACATGCAAAAAGCAAGTGGGGATAATGTATTCCTGGTTTCCTACTGGGGAGTTATGTACAAGAATTGAGTCAACTGCTGGAACACCTAACCAGCTTTCTGCTCCCACTAGACAGGCAGTCTAAGTAACTATTTTGGTGAAGATATGATTCATAGAAAAAAAATAGTGGTAGTGTAGGAAGAGAGCAAGCAAAGAAAATAGCATAGGGCCTCCGGGCTTCTAGCAGCACCAGTCATGGAGAAGAAACTTCCCCTATTTATAAACCTCATTCTACACTGAAACCCGTGGATGAACTCCTTCAAAAACTGCAAGCTACACAGGTCTTTGGTGATGGACTCCCTCCTCCCAATTCTTTTCCCAACTTAATGACTTGAATGTTCTATGCCACGGACTATTACCAGTTCCAGTTTTATCAATATTTTGCCTTATATGTTACTTATATGTCAGGCAGTATACAAGCCATTCATAAATGCATCAGCTCATCTAATCCGCAGAAGAACCTTAAAATTAGTAAGATCATGCATCACAGTTTGCCTGGGACAGTACTGATTTATGCCTAATGTGCTGGTATAACTATTAAAATAGTGTCCCCTTTTGCCTTCAAGAATATCTTATTTGGACAATGAACTACAAGTTTAGTTTATTTGTCAGTAATGCAGTGAATAGAGCTGAAAGGAAAAAAAAAACAGGATATTTTCATATAGTGTAAAAGTAAGTGATTGTTGGTCAATTGCTGGTTAGTTCAGTATCTTAATGAGGATATCTTGAGATGCCCTTTGATGTTCTTCCTGTTCAAAGAATGGCTACTGCAACCTCAGCCATTGCATCATTTTCAAGATAAAGAGGAATATTGGGAAAAGAAGGAAGAAATAGTGTGTGTGTGTGTGTGTGTGTGTGTGTATCTCCTAAATTCCTAACAGATATCTACTCACATCTCATTAATCAAAGATGTGTCATACTGCCAATGCCAACTGCAAAAAAAGCCTGAGAAGAAATATTTTTAACTGTGTACATTCTACCTGAATAAAATTGAAGGTATTTTGGGAAAGAGGAAATGGATAGTGAGTAGAAAATAAATACTGTGTCATTTAAGGAAATTGAAGTTAAAGAAAAATAAGTCAGCAGTTTTCCACCTCAGAGTCTGTACATGTGCACTTTTCTCTACCTGGGTTACCCTTCCTTTGGTTTGTTTGTGTGTGTATGTATGTATGTATGTATGTATGTATGTATGTGTGTGTATACATATATATGTGTGTGTTTGTGTGTGTATATGTCTATAAAACATATTTACTTCTTAAATGAAGTACCATTATTTTATATGCTTGTTAACTTTTTCACAGACAAGATTTCTTCCCTTGGGTGTGTTCACCATAGTTTTCCAGAGCACCCATAATCCTCCACCACAGACCACTGTGTTCTCCCTCCCCCTTTTCTTTCCTTTCCTCCCACTCCAGCACCCCCCACCACCATGCTGCCAACCCATACCTCAGATCTATGATCACCTTTCAAGGGTCATTTTTAAATTGCGTCTTTCTTGTCTAATCCTTCCTTTGATATCTCTCTATTCAACATATAAGTGAAACTGTCTAATATTTATCTTTCTCCTTCTGGCTTGTTTCACTTAAGAGAATACCTTTCAACTCCTTTGGTTCTTACGTTCTTACCATGCCTACATCTTCTCTCTGCCCACATCTCAGTATAAATGGTCCTTCAGGCTGCCTTGATGAAATCTGAATTTGCATACAGGCCTACTAGTCATCTTGATCAAAATATACATTTATTTTATACCATTCGCCACAGCAATGATTATTAGTTTTACTTATTTTTAACATTTTTATTGTCTGGAGACTGTAAAGTACATGGGAGCAGTTCTCTATTTTGTTTGGTATTTCCTACCATAGGGCTTAGTAAATGAGTATTGAATGGATAAAGATTAAAATGATCAGCTTTTAATACCCCTTCAGGTATTTTAAGTCTCAGAAGTTTTAAGTTTCAGAAAATATGGTTTCTGATCTGTGGGGAGTTAAAGGGAGAAGACTTGGCATTGAATGGGGGGCACAGACAGAACACCAAGACAAGTTACCATTGCCTGCCATTGGCATGAGAAGAGGCAGGGGTGTTTCATTTACTGTACATTTTTCTGACCTGACCTAATTAGCACATTTCAAAGATGAAGAATCTAAGACACAAGTGGGCAGAAATGTTTTGACCCAATTTTTGAAGCAAACATCTTGCCAAAATACCAGAGAATAAGCAAGAGATAAGCAAGAAGATTTTCCAATGATTTTGTAGATACTCTGTCATAAATGTTTACGAAGACTCTGAAGCAACCTTATCCATATGTTGATAAGAATTAAACTCAGAAAAGCAGATGTTTTCCTTAATATTCTCCATTAGATTCTGATTGTCAGGACTAAATTACACATTCTGCTTGTTAGGAATTAAGACTTCCCCATAAGGCCAAATAACCTGGAGACAATAGGCATGATATAGCTGATGTCATTCAATTACTTTTAAAGGAAAATACAAAATATGTCCTAAGAGATTTAGATTATAGTCTTTTTTGTTTTGTTTTGTTTTTATTTTTTATCTCATATATATATATATATATATATATATATTACATCATTCTTCCTTTTTGTACAATGCATGCTTTCTCCTCTCAGGTGTAGTCCCCATATAATTCCCACCCCAAATTCACCTCTGAACCATCACCATAGACCCCAGTGCTCTTTCCTCCTCTGTTTTGATCCCTCTCCCTTACCCCTCTCCTGAACGGTGTCTCTGATTTACAGTTGCCTGTTAATTTTGTTTTTAAACTCATTATATATTTTTTCCTGATCCCTTGTTTGGCTTCCCTATATTCCTCCTATAATTGAAGCCCATCCGATATATTTTTTTTTTTTTTATAAACAGTGAGCCTTTTTTTTTTATTTATTTGTTTGTTTGTTTGTTTTGTTTATACATGCACTGGGTACAGTCAGAAGTGCGGGAGGGTGAGAGAATTCACCAGAGCCAGAGCGGGGAACAGAACAGGCAGAAGGACCGAAGTACACCGCTGAGGGGAGCAGCGGGCGGCAGGAGAGGTCTGCGCGCCATGTGGGACCCTCCTCCAGTGGCCGGGGAGCAGCCGGGGATCGAACAGGCGCCGCAGAGGCCGCGGGCAGCTTCGCAACCCAGCGCTCAACCGCTGCGCCACCGGGGAGGCCCGATATATTTTTTTTCTTTCTGGCTTATTACATTGAGCATAATCCCTTCCAGCTCCATCCATGTTGCTGCGAATGACATGAGTTTATCTTTTTTGATTGCCGAGTAATACAGAGATTTAGATTATATTCTGACAATAAGATCTAAGAAAGCACAAGGTCTAGTAAGCACTTAACACATGATCATTTCCTGACTATTATCAGCACAGAGCTTTATGAACAAGGAAAGAGGGATGAGTATAAGTTTACAGGAGTTATGAAGAATAAGTAACTTTAGAAGTTATTTATGTACCAGCTTCATACAAATGGGGAAACAAAGGACCATAAAAGTGAAGAAACAGACAATTAGCAACTTCAAATCTCTAGACACCAACTTTATACCTCCATGTTGTACCACCTCTGTGCTGGCATAACCATAACCAAAACTTCTGCCTTATTTCTTAAGACTATTCTTAATCTGCTAATTTATTTGAAATCTCACATTTTTGACTATGTAGTTGAAGATGCTTTTAAACCTTGTTTTTATACTGAAGAGTCTCAAGTCACGGAAGTTTTCATAGGACCTGCTCTCCAGAGATTGAGATGAGGAACAGTGGGCTATCTCACCTATTACAAGGCCATAGGTTTCTGTCCTCTATACTGCAAAACACCAGCTTTCATCCTGTGAATTTACTCTTCACTTCAGAATATCTTCATTGAGAAAAATGAACAATTAATAATCTCCACTTTCACAACAATGTCATGAAATTTTATACACTATGGGACTTTTATGACATTGTAAGAAAGGAAACATTAACCTTATATGAAATGAGAAGTCGATGGTGACACTTTTTCCCCCTCTACGGCTACATCAGCAGTCCATTGGAAAGGTGTAGAAAAATCGGACCCAGGCACTGTTTCTAATGGCACTGTGATACAGTAGCAAAAACTTTAGTTTGTTATGAAATGACAGGTCTAGAACTGACTTCATCACTAATTGTATGACCATCAAGTATCCCTGCTTGACTTCTGGCCACATAATGTAACAGTTTTTGCTAGTAAATCCTTACCAATAGCAGTGGGGTATAATGACTGGCACTCTAGGTTTGTAGTTGGTTTTCCCACTAAGAAGCTTAGGCATCCTTACACAAGCCACTTCGTGTTTTTGTGTCTCAGTTTACCTAACTTAAAATGAGAAAAACTACGTGATCTCTGAATCCATTCCCAAGGTAAAAAATTAATTATTCTATGTTCCCATATACTTGAGCTGTCTTCTTGAGTCAGACCCATCCATTTAAAAAATAAGAATTTATCCTGATTAAAAAACATTTCAGTGAGCACAGGTATCTGCAAATCAAAAGAATATGGCTCTCCTCAATCAAATTATAAACTTGATTTTTCAAAATCAAGTTTAAGAGCCTCTTAACAAATGAATCATTCTAGTATGTGCAATGTTTATTTTTTTAAAGCCAAAGCCATGGTTACTTGATGGGAGGAAACCTTTCACATATGTGTATATCAAATCCCCCGTGGTGTACACTTTAAATGTCTTACATATGTGCCAATTATACTCAATGAAAGTAAATAAAGGGACATTAATACATAAAGAATAGTACAGTGGAAAAAAGTCAAGAAGGACAACCACAGTTACAAAAAAGAAAAGTCCATGATGACGAATTCCCAATTGTCCATTTGTCACTCTTGCAAGTTTCATGAAAGAAGCAATAATGACTAAATTACTTCCCAGTGTAGTCTAACGTCTGAAAAAGTCTGTTTAAAAAGTTACCTGTAAATTGGTACCAAAAAAAGATATTGGAGCAGACAGGATACCCAAGTAATCATCAAGGTAATGCTTACTACATTTTTCTGCATCAGTTGCCCAAGAGAAAAATGTCATTTAAAGACACTTTGGTTCAGAGGGTGAGAGCAAAGCTTGCAGCCTGTTTTGGGCTTCCTGCTGATGTGCATGGAAGAAAGCAGCCATCATTATATACCTTACAGTACTTGGCTTCGAGCACTAAGTACTGAACAAACACTCAGCCTGGTTACCTTGGGGTAGAGTGAGGTCAGGTAAGGATGCATTGTGACTTTTATGGGTCCTAGAGACTTTGCCTTATAGCACAATTCTCAAAAACATACACTGACATTAAAGATTATTTTAAAATTTAATGACTGTAAAGATGAACATAATCATGCTTAGATTGAATTATATATTAATTTTTGGTCTAATTTTAAAGTATTTACAATATGTTTGTGGACTCTTAAAAGTATTGTGAGCCCTAGGCCCTATTTCTAGTGAAGCTGGCCAAGGAGTAGAGTTTCCATAGTGGGCCATCTTTTGCTAGCTTATATTCTTCTCAAAAACCCTAGAAGCAATTGCTTTTGCTAATGTGACAGTCTTTAAATTATTAATCTTTCTACATCTAGACATATGAAAGTGTTTCCCTCATTTTAACCTCTACGAAATGGACAGTCTGTGACTAGAAATAGAAAAGCTATGGAATTCCTTCTGTTCCTTCTTACTCAGTATGCCTCCTTCCCCAACCTAAATGACTTAAAGATTATGATTATGACCTAACCTGTCATATAGAAAGATGGCTAGATTAAAAACTGGCATGGAAAATGAAAATTATTGAGAAGTGTAAGGATCTATTTGGTGTAATCCTCCTCCTCCTTATCATTATTACTGTAAATATTTTTATAAAAAAGGTAATAGAAAAAGAAGTAAAATCAGATTTCCTTTAAAAATGGGTTTTCAGAAAAAAGTCCACTGTTACTTTTTTGTATTTATTATCCTTTCTGGCTCCACATAATCTGGACCCAGGCTACTGACTGTACCCTCATTTCATTGCTCATGAACTTCAGTCTCATCACATTGATCTTCCTGTTCTTCCTCAAACATTTCAAGTCCTTGCCTGCCCTAGAGGAGCAAAATTCCTCCCAAGACTTTCAGATAGCCCCTCACTCCCTCATTTTTGTCATGTATTTATATAAATGGCACCTCTTTAGTGACCCTCTGAATCTCTTACCTAAAGTAGGTGCCACATTCTTCATTCTCTGCCCCCTTACCTGTTGCTTGTGACTTTAATATGCTTAAAACTACTTGAAATTATGTATTTATTTGCTTATCTGTTTTGTCCTCACAACTGCAATGCATGTTCCACAAGATCAGGGAATTTTATTTGTGATGCTCATTACTGTATTCTCAGCAAGGTACTTTGTCCTTTGTAATGTAAGAGTGCACAGATACCTGAACAAATAAGGAAAATTTGTTTTAGTTTTATTAATCTAAGGAATATGGGCTCTCCATTCCCAACCTGCCTACTGGAACCACATGGTGGAAAATATATGAAGCTGGTAGAACAGACTAACTAATTAGGAGAACCAAATGACAGGACACATGGGCCACTTTCCATTCTTTCATTTTAGATGCTTATACAAGAGCAGAAGTTGTGTATGAGTGGACCAGAGAACCAGCACGCTCAGTGGTTGTAGCAGAAGATGGGTCACGTCTAAACCAGTATGATCTTCTTGGACAAACAGTAGACTCTGGAATTGTTCAGTCTAGTACAGGTAAGTGTCATTTGGTGACTCCAGACATGGAGGAGAGTACAAAGGTTTTTTGTAAGAATTAAGTGAGGCCTTTAACAAGTGAGAGAGGGAGAGGGAGAAGGAGAGAATAAAGGAGAGGGAGAGGTGGGGGGCAATAAACTGGGAAACAGTTTAACTGGGACTAGCATAAATTCTAAAGACATGTGACCTTAAACCTTATCATTTCATGTGTCCGTTGGCCACTGTTTTGTTGAATGGGTTCTATGTAATCAGTGTATAACAGCATTTAAATATATGAACTCTTAGGGAAGAATGCTTGGTTAAATCTTTATTCCTTTACCTTGCCAGTTGATCATAGTAACCATACAGGGTTGTTGGAAAAAAAAAATTAAATCCATGAAAAGTACTTGTCACAGTTCCTGGCACATAAAATGTTCTTAATAAATGTTAGCTATTAATATCATCTAAGCTCCGTTTACTGTCACAATTCAATGAATCTTGGTGAATTTGTAGCAGTGAATATTATGCACAGGATGCAAAAAAAAGCCAATTCCTTCTACAAATCCATTCGTATCTCCAGGATTTCCATAGCTAAAACCTGCAGAAACAGAATTGTACTACTGATCACTTCATTTTGGGATTTAAAGAAGGTGATTTGCCATCCTTCTTAGTGATTAGCTCTTTTTCCAACAAATACTCAGAACTAGATCAGACACTATTAATTTTGGAAGAGTGAGTTTCAAAATTTTAAGATTTATTTATTTATGCACACACGAGTTGGGGTGTAGGTGCAGAGGGCTGGTGAGAAGATCCACCAGAGACAGAGTGGGCAGCAGAACAGGCAGATCCACTGCTGAGGGGAGCAGCAGGTGGGAGAGAGAGGTCTGCTGCACCACGTGGGTTAGCTCCCTGGCCAGGTATGGAACTGGTGCTTTAGTGGCTGCCGACAGCTTCATAGTTCTTAGACTTAACCCCTTGCACCACTAGGGAGGCCCCACGAGTTCCAAAATTTTAAATGTGTGAAGTTGTTCTAAGAAAAAGGTAAGAGTTTAGTTACACAAGTATCCATTTGTGACTAACCTATGAAATGTGAGCTTAAGGCTAGAATATCAGCTTACACACCCTCATCCCAATAACATTTCATTATTTAAGACTCAGACTCTACTCTTATGGCTGTCTTTAACATTTTGAATTACTTACTTACTTTCATTTCTAAAGAAATACAAATTAGTAAAAAATAAAGGCACCAGTACTCTTTTTCTCAGAAAAAAAATTTTTTTTCTTTGATTTCAGACTTTGTACTGAGGCCATGATCATTCTCTGACAGGATCTTTTTTTTATTTTAACTTACTCACTTTAAAGCATACATGGCTACCCTAGAAGTCCAAATACTTATATTTTTTGTTTTGAAAATGGAGAATATTTTCCCTTGGCTTTATCTATATTTGAAATGCACCTGGCACAATGAAAAGGTCTTAGACTTTGCAGACCTGTCCTGATACTAAGAAGCCTTGTGACTTTGAGAAAGTCATTTACACAATTAGGAACTCTGGTCTGTTCTAAAAATGGGCATTCTATAAATCTGCATTAAGATGAGATAATATAAAACATCAAGTAGAATGTTACATAATAGATTCTCAAAATGATAAGTAATAGTTGTTGCTATAGTCCTACAAACATTCCAGTACATACATAATATTTAAAAATTTCCTTCCTCATAATTCATGATGGAAAAGATACTAAACTCGGCAGTGTTTACTTTTTAAAAATTGAATGCTATTATAAACTGGATATTGTGGCAGGCACTAGTGATATAATGATAGACAAGGAAGAGATCTTGTTCACAAGGAATCTGAAGTCTAAGGGAAATCAAACACATAAACTATAATTATCAAAATGGGTGGTAAGTGCTGTGATTAACATTTTTGTGAGGGCAGAGACCATGTCTGTCTTGTTTCCCTATTATTTACTATAGAGGCTGAAACAGAGGATGCACTAAATAAATATTTTGAATTAATGAGTAACAAATGAATCCAGGCTAGGATAACCAAGGAAGGATTGCTGAAGGGGTTGACTTACATTTTGCTTATCTATATCAGGTGGGAGTCAAGTGTTCAGTATGCTAGGCACAGGACTTTAAGAATAATAGACACAGAACTTCTCTTCCAGAAATTCTCCTTCCATGATTATTAGAATGGAGGTTGAAGGATAGAAGGGAAGTAATCCTTCCAGTGCAGTAGCATGCATATCATAGAAGTATATGATATAAAATAATGAAGGTTTCTTGGAGGAGGGAGTGTCTGCATTATGGTTTTAGAGCTACTTTCTTTGACATGTCATTGTATCCCTTTTTGTACACCAGTATCCAAGTCTTAGTCTGATGGCCTTGGAGACCTCACTGATCTTCTAAATGATTCAGCCAACTTACACTCTAGTTCTCAGAAAAGATAGAGTCATAAAATGCAGCAATGAGACAATGGTCCAACCTACACCATCAAACTGGCTATAAATCATAAGTTAGGTCTGTTGAAAGTTGTCATTCTGCGCTAGAGAGGCAAGTTCATCTATACAAAATAAAAGCTTTTTCTTATCATCCCCATAATGGATGTGGGGGGTGGTGGTTACTAAGGAGAATAATGAACAAATTTTCAAATGGTGAGAGTTCAGTTTGATATACATTTTCAGCTTCACAATGAGACACTGAGCTACACTTCCTCTGGGTCTATTTTAGTTCATCAAAATCCACCTCAATAGATTTCCATGGGAAGAAATAGAGATATTTTGTAAGGTGTTCAATGCTATATTTCACATCTCCTTGTGGAACCCTGAAAACATGAAGATAAATGACAAAGAATGCTATTACCTCCCTGTTTCTGCCAGAAGACTAGGAATGATGGCAGGAAGGAGCACACACATTGAGAATGATTAGTAAAAGGCCTCTTCTTCCATCTTAAGATTCTCTGTGGGGAGCAAATCAATTCAAATCACCTCTCAGAAGGTTAGAAATGCCCCATGTGCCTGCCACAAGCACACCTGGAAACACACACTCACATGTTTACTAGTGTCCTCTTAAAGGTCAAAATGCTTCCAGGTCACCTAAGTGAAATAATAAAGAAAATATGAAGCTCAAACCAATACTTGGTTTAAAAAACACACTGCAAACACATTAGAAGTACTATCCTTTCCTTGGAGGCTGCTGTCAGATTTGGGGGAAGAGGGCTTCCCTGGTGGCCCAAGGGGCCACCGCCCTATGAAGCAGTCCACAGCCTCTGCAGCATGAGTTTGATCCCCGGCCAGCCAGGGAACAACCCACATGACAAGGCAGACCTCTCCTGTCTCGCCCGCGGCTCCCCTCGGCAGTGTATTTCAGTCAGGCTGCCTGTTCTGTTCCCCACTCTGTCTCTGGTGAATCCTCTCACCCCCCCCGCATCTCTGGCCTGTACCCCAACTCTTGTATGCATAAATAAATAAATCTTTAAAAAAGATTTGGGGGAAGACAATGAGTTGGGGGCTAGTTTGAAGTACACTTTCATCTGGTAGAACAAATCCTTTTCAGGCATGTAGAGGGATGAATTCAAACAGTTTATAAATCCAACTCTCCGATCTTCCTTCATTTATCCACTTATTCCTTCCAAGATTTGCTCATTTACTAAGTTCAACAGTACAATTAAAAGTGGAGGAATAGGGCCTCCCCGGTGGCGCAGTGGTTGAGCGCTGGGTTGTGGAGCTGCCCGCAGCCTCTGCAGTGCCGGTTCGATCCCCGGCCACCGGGCGAGGGTCCCACATGGCAAGGACCTCTCCTGCCGCCCGCTGCTCCCCTCGGCGGTATGCTTCGTCAGTCTGCCTGTTCTGCTCCTCTTTCTGGCTCTTGTGAATTCTCTCACCCTCCCACGCTTCTGACTGTACCCAGTGCTTGTATAAATAAATAAACAAATCTTAAAAAAAAAAAAAAGTGGAGGAATATTATGAAGGACACACTCTCCCTGCCCTGAAGAGGCTCACAGCTGACAGTAGACACCATGTATAGGCACTGTTCTAATCCTCACACCAAAGCTAGGATGCAGTATTGTCTAATATTATTCCTATCCCCAATTTACAAATGGGATATGATTGAGCTGCAGAGAGGCTTAACAATTTTTCTAAGGTCACATAACTGGACAGTGGCAGAGATGGGATTTGGGTAGCCTAGATACAGAATACATGCTCTCAATCATGTCGTCGCACTAGTAAACGTCAAGATAGTCATGTGTGAAATGTAACAGTGTGCTACAGCAAGGACTTTAAGAGTGTGTTCTCTGGAGTTAATATGCTAGGATTGGAATGCTACTTTTACCACTAATTAACTGTGTGACCTTTGGTAAGATATTTCTATTTCATCTTTTCTCATGCACTACTAAGATAATAAGAGAATCTACTTCATGAACCACTGTGAGATTAAAATGAGAAAAGTGCATGTTAACTGCTTAGCAGAGTATCTGGCATATAAAAAATTTGCAATACATATTAGATATTACTACCACTACTACTACTGACAGTGTGAGTATGAGAGCAGCATGATGACATAAAGAGGAGGTCATTTCTGCTTGGAGCAGCAAGGAAGGCAGCTTGGAAATAGACTCCAGGCATAGTCCCTTTTGTCTCCCTACTACACTACATTATTCTGCCTAAGTAATTCTGTAAGGGAAGACCATGCAAAAGTCACAACAGTGATTGAAAGATATGAAAATCTGACTTACATGAACAAGAAAAATAATCTAGTTATTCGGTATAAAAATAACATGGTCAGAAAACAATGAGAATGTCATATGATGCTTTATAAAATACATACAAGCATGACTGTTTCCAGATCCTATCAAAGGAATTTAGGTTGGATTTATTAAATAAGGTACATCTTTTTCGTGAATGACTAATTTTTATCCTTAGAACAAATGACCAAAAGAAATTGTGGGGTCCTCTTTCCTTGAGGTAGTCTTCTCTAGATGTGTTAATTTTAGATTTTAAGGAAGATTTTAAGGAAGACC